ACAGGGGTCAGATAATTAAGTTTGCAAACTCATCCTAGAAAAACTGCTATATACTTCATTGCTAAATATCACTATGGCCACCTCCAAGGCAACCTTGGGAAGCTAAGCACCAACCAGCACCTAGTCCACCTGTCAAAGCAATTTCAGAACTCTTTTTTCTGGAATGGCCATCAGAAATGTCATTATATGAGGTCTAACCATTAAGTGCATGAACTCATCCTAGAAAAAGTGCTGTATCCTCACTGCTGAATATCACTATGGTCACCAGATGGCCAAGGGGAGCACTTTGAAAGTGACCACAGTGATAGTCACCTTGGAATGTTTTAAGATAAGTAAGTTTGCTAATCATAGACAAGCCACTGGACGTATACTGAGACTTAAATGTAAGTAAATTAAGAATGGACAGGTATGTTCAAGTCCTGCCCTGTACAGCCTTAGGCTTGGTAATGAGTTACAAAGGACATCATCAAGAAGGAAGGGGGCGTGAAGAGTCAGGTCTGACCTCCCTTTGGACGGTCAACAACTCAACTTCAGGATACTTCCGGGCCCCTTGGCCACAAAGGGGATAAATTCAGTTGGCTGGCGAGCTTACGATTTTATTTTAGTTTATAAATCCAAGCCTCATCTTTCGTTACAGAGACGAAACAGATATTATCTATTTTATACTTTTACCTACATTCATAATTATCTATTAATAAACATAAACGTAGAGAGATAATCATATTTTATGGTTCACTGAGGTAACTACCAAAGAATGAGAACAGAAATTATCAGAAGAGTTTTCTTCCCTGGTGCACGTGAGGAAAATAGGCCAGCGAAGATAAGAGTTTATTGCTTTTCATTACATGAAAAATTAAATGAGAAATTAAAATTTTTAAAAAGTGTAAGTCAACCAACATGAAAATGAACTGAGGAACTAGAAGAGCAAACCAAGAGCACATGTGCTTTGAAAAGAAATCAGTGTTTCCTATGGGGTGGATGACACAGAGCTTTTGGATTTTAATGCTAATTTCTCTAAGAGTTTCCTGCTGGTTCTGAGTGATTGTTAGAAATATCAGTCTGAAATAGAAAATGGTGGCAGTGAAAATAAGCCTTGCTTGCTTCAACATATGATATTTTAGGAATAAAGATGCAGGTTCTTTTTTCACTTGAAAGAACAAAATCCACCTGCTCCATAGGATTATTGACAGCCTTTCTTCTACCATATGGGTTTTATTTTGCGTAGCAGCACGAAACTACAATTCCGAGGTTTGGTTTCCTACCTTTAATTTATTTTCTTCTTTCTTTGGGAAAAAAAAACCACACACACACACATGCTGCTTCTTAGAGACTGAATTCTTACTTCTGTTCCCCTCTACTCCTTGGAGAGCAGTTTTTCCATTTCCTCTGGGGGATATAATGGATTTCTGTTGTCTACAGCCATATTCAGCAGCACACACAGGTGAGGTTCAGACATATTTTTAAACAAAGAACCAACAAAATAGAAAAAATCATTTAAACTCTGCAGTGAAAATATTATAGACTACAAAAGCACCTGGTCTTATTTTTTAAAAAGCAAACTCTGGCAGAAGAGATTGAAAAGAGCACTGGTCAGTACGTCATGGTTAAAAAAAAGTAACAGTGAAAAAACGAAATAGGTTTTAATCAGTCCACATAAAGTCCTTCAGTTCAACAAAGAGAAAGTTCACTTATGAAGCCTTGGCCAAGGAAAACACTCAAGGAGCATGAAAAAGGGTTTAAGGGTCTAACAACATTAGTGAGAAGATCCATGCAGACAAAACTGGAGGACAATCAAAAACTAAAGGATTCAGCTGAACAAAATCAAGACTCAGGATGCACATACATTTTGCTGAAACACCTGACAAGAGATAGAGTGAAACAGGCTCTGAAATCATCACACCTTAGGGATACAGGGTTCCCCA